AAACATAATATGGATTATTTGAGTGTACGATGTATAACCTAATTTAATATATAAGATATAAATTTTGTTGCTTAACTAGACTTTGAAGTGGCAGGGTTTAATAATTCAGATCTAAATACCTTTTCCTCGATAAGAAAGCTAAAAGTTCATAAGATGTTAAAATATACAGTATAATCTTTGACAGAGAAGCTGTTTTGGAGATAGAAAGTTCTAAAATAAAAAAAAAACAGTTAATTAAACTAATTTGAGGAAACCGATTGCAACAAACTATTTAAGTTCAAAAACTAATCTTAATGAGTACTGTGAACTCAATCCATTTGAGTAAACAAAGCAATTTGAGCAAAGTAAAACCCAATAAATGAAGAGAACTCAAACCAACTGAGTAGTGTAAAACCCAATACGTTAAAGCAACTCAAACCGTTTGAAAACCAATTGCAACAAACCATTTGAGTTAAAAAAAAAACTAATCTATATGAGTACTGTGAACATTTAAGTGTAATGAGGTATTTAATCAACTCATCACCTTCAACATTAAGTTCAAAACTCTTTTCAAATGAGTAGAATTAACTTTCAGTAAATTTTGAGTTAATACACTCATTTCAGTTGACTGTTGGGTTTTACAGTGTGTGTGTGTGTGTGTGTGTGTGTGTGTGTGTGTGTGTGTGTGTGTGTGTGTAGTATTTGATTCAGGTGTCTTGAATGAGAATCTTTGCATTTGTAAATGACATTTGAAAAGTGTTTTGCTGTGTATTACAACTCTCATGGATGCTTTAAATGTGTTATTCAGCTGTTTGTTTTTATGAAATTTATCTTTCAGCTAGTATTGTAATAGATTTGTATGATTTTGTTTTTGCAGAGTCAGTATTTTAGATCTGAATTCACATAAAAAAACATATTTGAATAGAGTAGATTGTAAAAAATAGGGCTGTGCAATGTATCACATCGATATCACAGTGTATTCACAATAGTCACATCACAGGATTAGTTTGTTTATTCAAGCTTAAAAGATACAGAATTTTTAAATATTATTTATTGTGCTTATTTATCGTGGACTGTGCTACGTCCGACAGATTGCACTATTATGTTTTTTTTCTTTTTCATTATCTTATAACCTATTTTAATACATTTTTATTTGTTTTATCTATTTTTTATTTTTATTTTTATAATTTTGATTATTTGTTTTTATTTTCTTACACTTGTCTCTTTTATTCCTGTTTATGTAAAGCACTTTGAATTGCCACTGTGTATGAAATGTGCTATATAAATAAACTTGCCTTGAAACTTATATAGTGATGATGACCATCCTATTTTACGTATGATTGTTACATTTCTGTACTTTCTTGCCTAGTTTTAAAACCTTATTTTGCTCTGTCATACTTATATATGCTTGTAATTTATTATATTTCATGCAGATGCACTGCAAATAAAAAGATTTGATCATCCTGGTCAATCTAAAGTAATACAATCTTTCCAAATAGAGCTATTCAAATCACCTGGTGACAATATCACAAAATATATCACAGAAAAACAAGATTTTTTTCAATTTTGTGCAGCCCTAGTATAAAAATATCTGTTAATGGTCATTTTTTTGTGATTCGTTATTAATTACATTATGAGATCTTTCTCTGTTGACTTTTGATGATGAAAATTCAACCATGCAACTTAACAAGGTGACTTTTTATTGATATTTTAGTCTTTTGAAACAATATATTGTGTTAGAAATAGTATAGAGAGAATTAAGTACTACAGAAAGTACTAGTTGTTTATTATCAGGTTTTTGTACTGTAATTTACAACACTAAAACAGACAACATATCAATACAAATGATTAAAAAGGTAAATAAAAGCAACTTTTAAAAAACTTTTAAGCATCAATAATTGTCAGAGGAAAGATCAAGGACCTATAATGCAATTCAAAAGCATAAAAATTTAAGTGTAGAATCAAAATACATTCTGGAAAATAAAATGAAGAGGAACCAGGTGAAAATCCAAATAAAGGAAAGACGAAAGAGCATAGAATAAAAGAGAAATGAAGGAAAACTTACAGAACTAAATGGAAAGGAATTGAGTGAATGTAAACCAAAACTTACAGAAGCCACAGATAATTGAAAAGGAATAGTACAGTGAAGCTTATTATGCAGAATATAACTAAATCAATTTAAATGTAATAGATTAGATTGAAACAGAACTAAAAGGCGATGATGTGAAACTTCTGAAACTGAGATGAAACTTAAAAATGTGCAACTACTGTATAAAAAAACTGAAGTGAAACAATAGAATATTACTGAATTAAACAGGACAGAATAAAGTTCTATGTAGTCACGGTGTAGAAACAACTTAGTAAAGCAGAATAATATAGAGGTCAAATTTATATAACAATAATAAAGTGAAACAGAAAAGAAAAAAATAAATAGAAGTGTAGAGACATTTACATTTACAAGAAAATAGAATAGATGAAGTTAAGGCTCATTTGAGCATCACATCACAATGTGTGTATCTGCAATAGTCACATAGGAGGATTAGATTATTTATTAAAGATTAAAAGTTATTATTAAATATGTTTTTTACATTTTTATACATTGATGACCATGTTTTACATTTGATTGTTAAGTTTCTGTACTTGAATACTATTAGACACCCCAACCCCCAAAAAACATGAAGCACTGTTTAATTATTTGTTTTTGCTTGCACTGAACAGAAAAAGTCGCAGTCAGTCTAAATAAATTAAATCTTTTCAAGTAGTGTTATTCAATAACCCTACATTATATTATATTATATTATATTATATTATATTATATTATATTATATTATATTATATTATATTATATTATATTATATTATATTATATTATATTATATTATATTATATTATATTATATTATATTATATTATTCATTCATCCATTTTCTTGTCGGCTTAGTCCCTTTATTAATCAGGGGTCGCCACAGCAGAATGAATCACCAGCTTATCCAGCAAGTTTTTTTTTTACGCAGTGGATGCCCTTCCAGCTCCAACCCATCTCTGGGAAATATCCACACACACAATTATACACTACGGACAATTTAGCCTACCCAATTCACCTGTACCGCATGTCTTTGGACTGTGGGGGAAACCGGAGCACCTGGAGGAAACCCACGCGAAGGCAGGGAGAACATGCAAACTTCACACAGAAACGCCAACTGAGACGAGGTTCGAACCAGCGACGTTCTTGCTGTGAGAAGACAGCACTACCTACTGCACCACTTTCTCGTCTATTATATGATATGATATGATATGATATGATATGATATGATATGATATGATATGATATGATATTATATTATATTATCTGGTGAAATTATGGTCATATTGCAATATATATCACAGCAAAACAATGTCCTATTTTACCAATATCGCGCAGCCCTAGATAAATTGATCAGAATCAGAAAAAAGAAGCTTGCAAAACATAATAGAACAATGATAAAGTTCAAGATAATAGGAGTAAACAACTGAAATGAATTTTTATTTTAATTATTCATTTTCTTTTGGGCTTAGCCCCTTTATTAATCAGGGGTCGCCACAGCGGAATGAATCGCTAACTTATCCAGCATATGTTTCACGCAGCAGATCCCCTTCCAGCTGCAATCCAGCACTCTCATACACACACATACATTATGGACAATTTAGCTTATTCAACTCACCTGTACTGCATGTCTTTAGACTGTGAGGGAAACCGGAGCACCCGGAGGAAACCCACCAACACAGGGAGAACATGCAAACTCCACAAAGAAATGCCAACTGGCCCAGATGGGGCTCGAACCAGTGACCTTCTTGCTGTGAGGCGATCGTGCTACCCACTGCGCCACTGTGACGTTTATTGAAATAATAAAATGTTTGGTGAAAAGTGTAGAATAGCATAGATGTGAGGTAAAAAATAAGACTAAAATGTGTTAAAATTATGTTAAAGATATAGAATAGACATGACAGATTCAAACAAGAGTGCACTTCTGTAAAAGATAAATTAAAATATAAAAGTCAGGTGAAACTCAAACTGAGGTCAAAATACAATAAGATAAAAGTATTAAAGTAAAACTTGTGAAAAAATAATAGGCATTTTGGGTGAAATAAAACAAAAGTAATTGAAAAAACTTTTTGTTCTTTTATGCTGTACATGACTGTATAATTATGTATTTGAGTAAAATATCATTTTTTTTGTTTTATTCTGTAAACTTTTAAAACTACAGTGTTAGTATTTTATAAAATCAAGTGATGTTTTGGGCTTTCCGCTTGGATTTTGCCTACTCAAATGAAAAATCTTCCCACATGCAGAGGTATAAAAAGCAAAAGTTTGGTATCATCTAAAAAAAAAACCTTTGAATTTTAATAAAACGCTGTTGAAAGTGATTTAAAGAAATGTATATGTTGCCAGTGTTTTTATGAACCCCTCCAAAAAAGAGGCACTTATTTTTTATTTATGTAAACTCAAATTTGAAACTTATAGGTTCTGTGTGTTCGAGGTTGCTGTAATTAATTTTGTAGGTTACCGCACAAATCACTAATCATAGGAAAAAAGAAAAATGTCTCAATCATAATCTATGCAGAAGCTATTCTATTCCAACTGATGAGAAAACAGAACCACTTATGGGGTATTGGGCTGGTACAGACCTTTAAAATTTAAAGAATGCAGAAGTAAATGATGTTGACATTTTGTGAAAGAAAGAAAGAAAGAAAGAAAATGAATGAATGAAAGAAAGAAAGAAAGAAAGAAAGAAAGAAAGAAAGAAAGAAAGAAAGAAAGAAAGAAAGAAAGAAAGAAAGAAAGAAAGAAAGAAAGAAAAATGCAATGGAATTCTTTTAGTATTAAACAAATTTTAACATTTTACTCAACCCCAGTAAATCCATATTTCCATAGCATCTTTTCGCATTTACTTACTCTTTCCTCTATGAAATGTCAAAGTTGTTTGGCCTGTGTGGAGTTTCCCGCCCCTCTCCATCCACTAAGCATGCTGGGATGTGTGTGTAACTCACGCAAGTCGGGAATGGCTTGTTGAGCGCACACGCACACACACACAAACACACTTGAACACACACGGATTCTGTAGGCGCGTGAACAGCTCGTGTGTGTGTGTGTCGCGGCGTCGCGCAGGAACTCAACAGGAGCTCGACCTTGACAGATTGAAGCACCATCATCTTCATCCTTATTTCCATCATCATCGGCAAGAGCTCCAATTCAAGGCGCGAGAAACTCAGCTGGCACTTCCTGGTAAGAGTTTAGCTTCATTCCCTCCTGGCTAACGCAAAACAAGTTAGCGTGTCACGTTTGCGTTCAATTATCACGCGACAATGACATTTCGAGTGCTTGATGCGATTTATTTGCGATTAATGCTCTTTAAAGACTTGCAGCAGAAAGAGTTATGGAGAAGTTGACAGAACTTTGGGCTAGTTTGTGTTAGCGCGCTAGGCTAATGCTGCTGTGGCGTTAATTCAGTAGTGACAAATTATCAAAATTATTTGGTTTAATTTTTAATAACGCCGTTTTTCATCTCTAACATGTTGTGAAAGTTAGTTTAAAGTTGTTTTTTAAGAGTGTCGTATGAGTTTCCAGCAGTGACACGACACACTTTTTTAAGCATTGTGGCTAAGCTAACGTCTGTCAGTGTGACAAATGCAGTGGAAATGTAGGAAATTCACTCCTGATTTTTTTAAGATGCTCCCTATTTAACCTCAGACACAGATAACAATGTGTGTCTTGTTGATTATCCATAGAAATGTTGCGAAAAGGCTGATTATTTGAGCATGTTAGGCATTTCTTACTTTGGCAACACTTTCCAGCTGTTGACAGCAACGCGTTGATACTTGTTGTTTTGTGAGCTCAATGGACCTCGTTCATATTGTTCCCAATGACGTAAGTTAGTCAGGGGCGAGTTCATTATTGCGTCTTTGGTCATTGTGTTTTTGTCATTTTGTTATTACACATGTAAAATTACAATAATAGGAATAAAAGCAATTATATATATATATATATATATATATATATATATATATATATATATATATATATATATATATATAACATTATAATAATTAAATTTAAAAATTAAATTAGGTTTCAGATTAACAGTGGACGATGAATGAGAACAAAAGTTAAATTATTTATGTCAGTGTTACAAGTTGTTTATCAGTCTTATTCCTTTTCAAGTGTGTCATAAACTTGTTTTATAAAGAGATTTGTATATTTATGGCAAAATGGTGTTATATATGAATGAATTTAAAATGGAAGTGAATGGTGAAATCAACAGTAATTAGTTTTCGAGTTACCTAGCAGACATGAATTAGATGAAACATGAGCGTTTATGACTGTTTTAGAACTTCTGTAGTGCAGTTTTTAGCAATAGTGCTGCATCATGGTTCACATATTATATGCTATACTTAGGACCACACAGAATCTGCTGACATTTTTGCTATTTCCGCACAGAATTTTGGTAAATATTTGCAAATTTATGCAGAATGATTTTAGGAGTATCATAACTAAAACCTTAATATATAAAAAACGTCATACCTTTTTAACTTGTATTTCATGTTTACAATGCAAATCCAATCAGATCCACGTTATTTAGTAAACAAAGCAAGTTTCTCATATAATAGCTCCACTAAAAGATAGAAAATATTACTGTACAAACTATATTGTAAATAAATCATATACATATTTTCATATTAGTCCATAATATTACTGACATTAGTTTAAAAACTGAATAAATATGAATTTACACACATCAATGATGGGCTAAAAATCTGCAGAATTTTGCACACGCAGATTCCATGTGGGCCTAGCCTATACTATATTTTATTCAAAATCATAATTACTCTACTGCATCTAGGGCTGGGAAATAAACGTTATTATATCAAATTGTGATAAAAATTATGTCAGGAACATTGATAAGCTCTGGACTTTTTAAATCTATATTGATCTAAGAGCCAATTATACACAGAAGAATCTAAAAGTGTATTTATATTCTGATCAGAGATGGCAAAAGTACACACATCCTTTACTCAAGTAGATGTACAGATACTTCTGTTTAATATGACTCTGGTAAAAGTTGAAGTACTGAATACCCTTTTGTACGCAAGTAAAAGTCAAGAAGTACGGCCTGAAACAAGTACTTAAGTGAAAAGTATTTATTACTACAACCTGTTTTATTTTAACAGTGGTTGCTACACTGCACACCATGTGTACATCTATACAAAATAACTTGCATTTCTTACTTTTTTAAGCAGCAAATTAGCCAAGCAGCATCGTTTTACTATATTGTCCAAAAACACTGCTCAAAAAGTTATCCTGTGTATAATCACCTGAACCCAAAATATGGCTGTTAAAAACAACAGCTGCCATACTCGTTCATATACCCTAAAACATAATTCTGTAGGCTGCCTGTATTTTATTTTTGATAAATGTCTTAAATTTAAAACTTAATTTTCTTTAATTTTCTTCTTTTGGTAAAAAAAAAGAAAAGAAAAAACAAATGAAATATATTTTGACTACAAATAATTTTTGCATTATGGTAAAGCTGCTTCATTTTTTAAAACGGCAACACTTTTGCTGCTCATTTGATTTCACTTTTTGTTTTTTGTTTTGTTTGTTTGTTTTTTGTTTGTTTTTACACACATGAAAACAAAAGTAACGAGCCTGATTTAAAAATGTAAGGAATAGAAAGTACAGATGTTTGTGTAAAAAAAGTAGAAAGTTGTCAGAAAAATAAGTAGTGGAGTAAAATACTGATACCAGAAAGAATCTACTTAAGTACAGTAACAAAGTGTTTGCACTTCGTTATTTCCCATCTCTGTTAGAGATATGCTGAATTTTCTGCCACCGAAATTTATCAACTGAAAATATGTTATGCCATTTAATGGACCTTCTATTTTTTCTGGATTCAGTCATTGTTGGGATACTCTTTTTAAGTCTGGAAGCATTAGCAACTTGTATCAGAATGTCTATCATTATCGTTCAATATGGAAAATGATTGTTGAGAATGCGTTTCTGCCACATCGTCCAGCCATAACTGCTTCCCAAATCACATGTTGTATAGGGTTAGTAGGGTCTGCCATTTGTTGGGGAACATAAAGTGTGCGTATTTCCACATTTAATTTATTTGACACTTTTAAGATTAGATTAGATTGGATTCCACTTTATTGTCATTACACATGTAATAGTGGGCAACGAAATGCAGTTTATGTCTAACCAGAAGTGCAATAATGGATACTGTATGATATAGGTATAAGTTATAAATTGCAATTAAAGAAAAACTATTGGTGATGTACTATGAATATTAAATACAGGTTGTTTTAACTATTAACAGAGATTCACAATAGATGAAGATATGTACAGGTTGCTATTAATAATGAGAAGTATGCAGATAGATTAGGCATGGGCCGCTATGAAATTCTCATTCTGTAAGATAACCTTCAATAAAAATATCACTGTTTCATGGTATTGTGATTACTGCTCTTTTATATATATATATATATATATATATATATATATATATATATATATATATATATATATATTAAAAAAAAAAATATATATATATATATATATATATATACACACATACATACACACACACACACACACACACACACACACACACACACACACACACACACACACACACACAGGTATACCTTGAAAATGGTTATCGTCTCATGCCTAAGATAGATATAAACATAATTTATAATGGATATGTGCAATGGATATATACAATTCAAGATGAATTAGTGCAATAAATATGCACAATTTTAATTGTGCAAAATATTAAATAGTGTAGTGTTTAATGGGAGTGTAAGTAAGAGAGCTGTATTTAAGGATGTGTTAATATCAGTAAACATAAAATTTATGACAGGAATCCTCTTGTCAGCAACAGTATCATAATGCAATGCAGAACATTATGCTGACTTACATTTTTCAGCAGCATGTTTATTTGTTTCAAAGTAAAACAACCGTTTTTTAGGACTGGTTGGTTATGAACTTGGGTGGACTGGTTGGTTAGGGTTTAAATTTATTGAAATTAGTCACTGCGTGCAATCACATCCCTATTCGCTGTATCAGCCACTCAACACAATCGATATTTTATTGGCAATTAAAAAACTTGTAGGACTTTTTTTCTGCGAATTTAAGGACAATAATGTATTTTAATTAGTTTGAAGGAATTAACTAACTTTTATGTGGTGTTTTGTGATGCATTATTTAGTTGACCCTCACATTTAACCTTGCATTTCTATATTTATTAAAAATATTGTCAGCATAGCAATCAAAATGTTAGGATTTTCACACATTTTTATTTTTTGCCTGATATGGCACAATTGAAGTTGATCTTTCTGCACATTCAAAGACAGATATGTATTTGGGCATTTTCTTTGTTGTTTTTTCACCTCTTTCGTTGCTTTAGATTTCCCCAGGAAATGAACTCTTTCATAGCATAATTATGCGATGCATATGCCACTGTAAACGCAGTAATAGACACGCTGACAGCCTGCGTTTGTCACAAAATACAGGAAAACCGGAGTAAATATGCGCTGTGATCCAAAAGAACAACCACAGTCTCTCCGTACGGGTCGCTATAGGCATTTCTTACGTCCTCGCTGCAAACGACACTTAATATTTCACACAGGATGACACGGAGAGAAAGCAAGAGGCTGTGTGTTTTGAAAGCCTGTCTCTCTTAATACGCAATAGCCTGAGTGTTGCAAATAGCTGGGCACGCCAGCCTGGCATACTAACACTCATCAGCTCTGCGCCGAGTTTCTCCGGCCCAAGGGCTGTCGAGGTCTGTGGCTGGAGTGAGACGTAACACCCCCTCATTTGGGGATCTTCCACGACAGGACCCTGCTCTCTGCACTCAATCAGTCAGCGAAACAAACAGCCAGCTCGAGAGCTGCAGGAGGAAGCTGTGGCGCTTTTTATTTTTTATTTTTTTATTTTGTTTTCAGAAGTCATGCCAAGTTGGAACTCTGAAACCTTTGGCGGTGCCTTTGCAGGGCAGGGAATGAAAAAAAAAAACTTTACACATTGCTGAAGCCAAGCCTGGAAGCTGGCAGGGCGTTTGAACTGCTCTGGAAGGTCTGGAGAAGTGGGCTGGTTCCTGTGCCTAGCCGTGAGCAGGCATTGGTGGGGGGTCGAGGGGGCGTAAACTGAGGGCGAGTGCCACCATACTGTGAAGGCCGGGCGAGTGGCCAGCATCGTTGACAGTTTAACAGTGAATATTT